CAAAGCCAAAAGGGGCTTAGCAAACCACTAATGCCAATGTTGACTAAACTTGCTCCACCTGGAAGGCGGAAAGAAATAGCTAGTGCAGTTTGCTTACATAGTTGCAAAGAGGAGTGTTAAATCTGTTGAAACCAAAAAGTAGGTCATTGATGGACCTATCTACTATCATATGAAAGTATCATAGGATGTTCTCTCTCTCTCTCCCTCCCTCTCTCCCTCCGTGTGTTTGTGTGTGTGTATTTGGGGAACTTTAGAATGAAAACACTTCAAATCTGATATCTATGGAGTGAATTCAATATCACTGAATCATTGGTTCTAGCAATCTGTGAAGAAGGCTGCAAGTTGCCAACTCATCTTACTATTGTGCTATGGGCTGGGGCTGTGTATTCCACAAAACTAGCTTTTCTTTAGATAACACAGGAAGGTCCACAAATGAATGCCCAGGCTCAGTGAATATACTAAATACGCTGGTCTTCCAAATGCATATATTTGGAAAATCAGCAGTAGAAACAATAAATATAAAATAAGATGTGTGACACCAATGGGATAGACTTGATAGATAGTAATAAATACTGTAATGCTAGAATGTTGGCCAATATATTTGTTTTATTCTTTATTACCTTCCTATTCAGCCTTTATCCTCACAACATCCCTGCAAGGCAAATTAAACTGGTTCACCAAGTGAGTTTTGTGTCTGGGAACTTGACAGCTGCAGGGAGGTTTTGTTTGTTTGTAATTGGACAGACTCTTTTCTGTTACAGAAAATCAGTAGAAAAGGGATAAATAGTAAAAGAAATCAAGGCATCAATGCTTTTTGCCTGCTGCTCCATAAGAAACTTCAGGGTATATTGTGTTGTTGATGTAATTTAGGCCTGCCTGGGCAAGGAATGGTGGAAGTCAACCCCTTTGGCAGACGTGAGTTTGGGAAAGACCAGTCAGGGATGTTGCATGGCATGTCAGGAGAATGGAGGCAGAGGATATACCTAAGTCAGGAATAAATTCTTTTTTAGAGACTTCCAAATAATGCAACTGGGGCCACATAGTCTGTAGAACTCAATTTCCAGTTGTTTCGACATTGCTTCCTTGTGCTGAGCTTTTTGTTAGAGTATAATACTGTATGTGTTATGTAGTGTGTGTGTGTTGTGTATTAGTCTATAAAAACTATGTATATACTGTGTATTGCTCTTCAGCCCATTTTAGATTGAAACCAAATAAAGTTTGTTCATAACACACTGAATTCAACTAGATTATTGAGGCATTTTATTTCTTAAATCCCTATTGTTGAGCACCATATTTATGTAGAATTCCCTTGGGGCTTGCCAGGAGTTGTGTCTCACCTGGCTTTTCAAATATTTTGATATATGTTTAAAGACCATTAAGTAGGAAGGTGGAATGCTGCAAAACTAAAATCCAATCTCAACATTGTCATTTCCAAAAATGTTCCTGAGTTCTATAAGGGCCCCGTAAGATTTTTTTAGTATATAAAAATGTGGATGGCTACATAAAATATTGGAGGGATGACACAGAGGCCAGAGCCAGTAAGGAGCCTCTTTTGCTAATCTGACTTCAGATAAATTCATGTTTGTGATTGGTAATGCCCAGAACTACCAACTTGAGGCTGCAGAAATATGAATGGCTACCAGTAGATAACAAAGAGACACAGAAAAATATATATACTGTATATTGGCACTATGTTACCATCTAGTAATCTTCCAAAACTTTATAGCCAAGAGCTGGTAGTTGTACCAACATGGCAATCACTTTATAAATTAACATGGAAAGCCAATTGGTATGGTATGATCTTCACATTCCTGACAGAGATGGTGGTCTAACATAATGTTAAAGGAGTATTCCTATCGGGCACTCCAAGTATAACTAAAATATAACCTTTCCTTACAACCATAGGTTTCCAATGTGGCTGATATTGTAGCAAATAGATTTATTTCCAAGGCACTGGCTCTTAATTAAGCCTGCTTTATGGAATACTTGCTCCCTATAGGAAAATACTTCCATAATAGATAGCCAAGTATATAATAATGTAGAATATCTCTCTCAACATGATTATATTGCTTGGACAACAAGTTTGTAGATGGGCTGTCTATTCTGTGCATTAGGCATGAACAGAGTTGCACTTTATTCTTTACTATAGACAAATATGATTTACAATGAGATTAGCCTTTGCAGGCAAAAAAAGATATTGCAGGAAATGGCTGTTGAAAACCGTGTGAACGTAGCTAGGAAAGTCTCTGCTTGGTCAGAGGCACATTTTTCTGAGTACCAGGGTGGGGTCTCCCACTCTCCCTCTGGCTTTTACTCATTCAGTCATAAACTGGTTTTTCTAGTCTCTCTTTTTTTTTTTAGCAAGTTTTCATCACTGCTGTTGATCACCTGCACTTTGGGGAGGAGCCTTCCAGAGTCCGCTTTTAACAATGTGCACACCTTCTCAATCTTTCCTGTCAGGTCAACTGAACAGGAGCAGCAGGCAGAAAGAGCTACAGCACACTCAGGCCTCCCATCAAGATCCTTCCCAATATCAGCAACAGGGAGTTTCCCAGGATAACGCCGAGATGTTCAAAGGGGTGGGCAAAGGCTCGCCAAGCTCCCCAAACAAAGGGTCCCCAACCAAGCAGTTCAAGTAAGTTGTTGATTCCGACATTTTTCTTTTTAGCAGAGTTGAATAAGATCTGGTGTTAATACAGTAAACCTAAAGGGAAAGCAAGAACCGCGATTGCCCACATATATCTTCTCTTTTTTTAAAAAAAAACCTTAAATAATATAAGGGCTAAGGATTCAGTCTTCTGCCTACTTGTGGGGCATAACCCCACTGAATTCAGTGGGATTTATTTATGAAGAGGCATACATAGGATTACATGGTAAGATAGTCACCAAGATGCTAAGGAAAATCATTTTTTCCTGTTTAATAAAAACAGTCCAGGTTCCTTCCTAGTTGCTTAAATAGATTGCAAGGAAAAAGTGAAAGTATTATTTGTCTAACAGGATACATGAAAACTAAAATCTGTTTTTGCCCCTGGTGCAAATAGGCCAAAGTTGAACGAGAATTCTCTTTCTCTCATAGCCCCCCATCAGCTTTTCCCAATCCAGTAACCATGCTGGATGGCAATTCTAGGGCTTCTAGTTTAATATGCCTGAGGGGCTTTAGGACTGGACAACCTTATAGCTTTTTTCTTTTTCCCATAGAGAAACTTGTAAAGCAGTCAAGATCTCTAAAGCAAGGCAATCTTAAAAGAGGTACTATGTTACAATGACTGTCCTATGTAGTGGAAGAAAATACGTACAATGGACATACACTAGTTCTATTTTGAAAAGATTTCCAGACTCCTTATTGTTTGAAATTATATTGGTTACATTTGTTTAATGGTCAGACATTTTTTAAAAAAGAATGTGCACATAGACAGCATGGATTTGGCATTTCAAACACGTTCACCCTCTTTTCTATTTTCCATTAGTTTAATTCTTACCAATATTTTGTACTAGACATGCACTTTGGAAATATAATCCATCTTTTGGTCGTCAGATAGATTTGGCTGCTTTTTTTTAGAGAGAGACTAAGAATCTTATATTCCAAAAATCATATTGGGAGTTATCAGTGGAATATTGTATCGCTTTTTTACTGGCATCGCTACAACTCTGAGAAGCATGTAATTCTTTTTGCATCATACTAACAGAATAAGTACCTGAAAAAGTGAGGAAAAATATATTATCAGAGAGGTATTAATTTGTTAATTTCTCACTTTTCCTTTGGGAGCTCAAATCTTCCTATTTCCACCACCCCCAACAACCACCTTGTGATGTTGGCTGGACCAAGAGAGAATGAATGAGTCAAAATCACTCAGGATAGTCAATAGTTGGATATTGGTTAATTGTTTTCGTCTCTACCCAATTGTTCTCTCCATTTTGTCCCTGGTCTGGTGAAAGGTGGCAACTTTATGAGGAACTTAATTAGTCTCCAGAAGAAAATTTCATAATGCTAACAGTCTAGTAAAAAGTAAAATCTGTCAATTTTAATAAGTTTGATCTTAGATAAATGCATAAGTAACGCTGCACTTTGTGTCTACTGCTTCTGTATGTAGATAGATAATATACCTGAATCTGAAATGTTGTACAATATCCAGCCTGCTATTTCATATATAGTACACACACAGTTGATAAAGTATATTATAATTAGCATTAGAATGATTAACTCTCATATTTTTAAAGCAAAAAAACTATGAGTGTTGCAAAGGAAACAGCCAACAGCCAGGAAGTGATTCAGCAATAGGCTAAATCCTAGAATGGGTGAAGTTTAATATGAAAATCTGGTTTTGTTTTATTTTCTGAAATGTTGAGAGGAATGGGTATGCTCAATTTACTGAATCCTATTTCCTTTTTGAGAAGAAAAAGATGTTACTTTTGGAAGGCTTGTCTGCTGAAGTCCCAGGTGGAACTGTGCTCCAGAAAAGATGTGATTTGTAATCTTGATTGCTTGTACAGTAGGTACAGCTGCCAACAGTGTATCCATCCCAGATATCAATTATCAGATATCAATTATCACAGATATCAATTCTCCATGCTATGGTAGCTTCAGGGTTTTGGGTTTTTTTTCCTGTTTATTTTCTTTCTTAACTATTTTACACTTTTCAAAATTTATGCCTCCCCTGAATTTTTAGATCCCTCTATCTTGTTGAAAGGTGGAGTCATTTTGACACAACAGAAGGAGCAGCACTTATAGAAATGATTTTCCTATTATTATGAACTTCTTAGACTAGCAACAAAATATTGCAATGATTAGAACATTGCTTGGTTCCATCAACCATACAGTCTTCCAGGAGATTCTATTCCTCATTCCCGCCACTCGTTTTTGAACTCTTCTCCCAACCATTGAACCCAGAATGTTCAGTTCCTGATGGCTGTACTGTATTAGGAGTTCATTCCTCTGATTTTTGTCCTCTTTAAATTTTCTCATCCATCTGAATTTCGCTTGTTTTCTTCTGAAGTTTGGGAAGAGCAAGAGAAAATGGTGGAAATACTTTGTTACAAAGGAAAACATTTACTGCAGTCTTTCCATTCATTGCCAGCATCTATTTTGCCCTCTTATTATATTGCCTAACTATGGATTTGTTGAATATATTTTGGAGCCTAATAATACTCTGAGCTAGTGAAAAGCCTAGAGAAAAGGTCTCCACTCAAATGACAATTGAAAAGAGAGAATTCATTAGGTTCTACTCCAAGGTAGCAGAATTGAAAAATAATCTTGGCTACAGGATTTTGCTTTAATTCTCAAATTATACAATTGAATTCACTGATGTTATGGTATAGCACCTGCTGCATTTTGATTGGTAGTTTATCCAGAGCATTATGAAGAATGTGATTGTTTAGGTGACTTTCTTGAAGCTAATCAGGTGGCTTATCTTGAAGCTAGTTGCAGGTGTAATATTGTTTCTTTACTTTTCTAGATTACACCTCATTTCTGCAATAAATATGCAATAAGAAGTATGTAGCTGAAGTGAATGTACAATGTTAGTACTTTGTCAAAATTAAAACTCTATCAGATAAGAGAGTTCTTGAATGTAAATTATGTGGGACTGTTTCATTGCATACTCCTTGTGCAGCATTCTTACATATATTTATCTGAGAATTAGTCCTATAGTGTGTTAACATGGTGCTGTGGGCTTCTCAGGAAAAGATATACAGGGGATAAAGAAATCCATGGTGATATTATAAAACCCACCCACCTGAACTAGAAATGTTTCAAGAATTCCACTGATTTGCAGTATATATGCCTGCAATAAACACTGAAAAGGATTTGGTTTGCAATCCTGGCTGATGTATGCATGATGTGGGCAAGGGTGTAGCCTTAATGTGCACAATACTTCTGTGCTGAATACTTTCACTAGGAGAGAGTTCTACCATATCGATGGAGGAAACTGTCTTGTACTTACTGACACTATGGTTACATTCCCTAATCATGTTAATCATACTTGGTTCTGTTTAGTGCACAATGTGAATGCAGTAATTGTGGCTTTTAAATCATTATTTTATTGCAAAAACCGAGTCAATTAAGAAGAAGAAGCTGTCCAGGATTTCAGCCTGCGAGAAATACTTTTACTAATAATGCTAAGTAGTAAGATTTCATTTTTTTTAACATATAAAGCACATTCTATTCTAAACTAAAATACAATGGTCCTCAAGAACAGCTATGATAAATTTTATCCATTTTCCTTTATGGGCTGTCCTTGAAATGTGGGCTTTCTGATAAAGATCAGCAACGTGGCTTTGTTTTGATAGTTTTCTCAGGTAATTTCAATAAACATGACCTGGATTCCAGAAAGGTGTAGAATTGAGCTACGATGCAAAGAAACACCTCTGAAAATGTAGAATGTCTTTATTAACCTGACAATATATTTCTTCCTACTTTACATCTAGAACATCCATAGTTAGATGCATATGGCTTTATATTCAGCTGAGTCTGTATATTCTAAATCTGTTATTTGCTTTTTTGTGTTGTCAATTGTGTTTTCTTCACCAAAACAAAAGGCAACTAACATGGGTGGTGTAGACCAGTGTTTCTCAACCTCAGCAACTATAAGATGTGTGGACTTCAACCCTCAGCATTCTGGCTGGGGAATTCTGGGATTTGACATCCAGGAAACTTAAGATTGCTGTGGTTGAGAAACACCAGTTTAGACTAACTGGGATTGCCTTCCCAAAATTCCCTCAAATGTGAGCAAATTCCCAACATATGCAGTGGGCTTTAGTCTGGGAAAGTCTGGTTTCTCTGTTTTACAGTCTATGTAACATGGCTGGGCAGTGCTCTGAATTTATCCACTGAATTTATCCATTTATTTATTATGCCTGCCTGCTTGTCATGCAGCTCAGGGCAATGAAAAAAACAGCCAAGACAGCAAATAAGCTGAAAATGTAGTTTATGCATTCAAACAATTAAGATGGGTTTCTGATTCAGTACCTGAAGGATGAGGTGGATCCTCAAGGCTTTTTAAAAGGCAGGCAGGGTCAAAGCCGGGGATGTCAGGAAGAATGCTGTTCTGAAAAGTGGCAGAGGAGGCACACATCGGCTTGTCCAACAAGATAGAATTGTACTTGAATGATGGAAGCTGGAAAAGGTCAACTCAATCAGGTCTTATTGGATGGGCAGAAGAAATAGGAGACCTGTGTTATGAAGAACTTTATAAGTGAGAACCAGCACCTTGGAAGCCCATTGGCAACTAGTGTTGCTTGTATAGTAGTGGTATTCCATGAGTGTATGGGAGAGGATATCCATAACTACTCATGCGGCTGCATTCTAGCTATAGCTTGAGTTGTGTTCAAAGGCAGCCCCAGATAGACCACACATCCCAGTGGTCCAAAGACACAAAATGTGGGTTTGGAGCACACAGGGGGCTGCAACTAGTATCTCTTTGCCTCTCCTTAATCTAAGGACATCTTTTCCTAGGATCAAGAGATCTCCTCCATAGGTGAAGGATGATCTCAGGAGATCCTGCTGCTTTAAGGAAGTTTGTCCTTTGCATGCTCCGAAATAACGTTTTGCCTTTGAATTTAGGAATGCTACTCAGATACACTACAGTAGTGGCCAAAATTGTGGAAACCTTTTGGGAAAAGTATACAGTAGAAATGCCA